TGTCACAGGGGGGGTGCCTATCCAACTCAGGGTCAAGGTAACCATTAAAATCCCCCATAAGCAGAAGTGGAACATTGGGCTTATCAATCAGGTTTAAAAACGACTGCAGAATCAATCTGGAAAAGGAAAGAGGTATATAGATATATTCTAGGACAAATGTAATAGTGGCTATTCTGCAGTAAATGAATACATACTGACCCTCAGAGTGAATCAAAGAATAATATGCTTTAAAATCCAGTGTCTTTTGGACCAGAGCACAGGCCAGAAGAGAAAGAGATAAGGGTAGAGTGAAACTCACTACCTACCCAAGGCAAATTGGAGGCAACTGAGTATAGCTCATGAGGTGGGTCTCCTAGAGATTAATAATGGGAGGGAAAACTTGTGGATACATGTAGAAATTATACTACGTTTTTAAAGTGTTTTGGACCCTCTCACATTGCACAATACAATTTGTATGTCTGACATAGCTGCACATAAACAGTAACCAAAGGATATACCAAATATAGAAATGAGCCCCATGGACATCGATTCAGGCCCACCCAGTAACCCCATACACTGAAAGCATAACAAGCAGAGAATGCAGAAGTCCCCACTGAGGCTGAGAGTGCTGAATCTATGCAGTCCCAACACAAAGTTTGCAGGAGTGACATTTGCAATGAAGTTAGGAGCTGTCCCAGAAAAGTCTGCTGATACCTAAAACAAAGTCACTGTTCCCCAGCACTCAAGCAGGGGGAGTCTAGCATCGTAAACAGCAGCAGTGCAAGGCTGAGGCCCAGCCACAGAGGTAATCTTTTCTCCATTCCCTAAGTAAAGAAATAGTAACCACTGTCCAAGCGGTGTTAGGGTTCCTGAAATGCCAGCCTGACAGCCTAAGTGCAAGGCAGTGCAACATAAGGAAAACCTTGTAATGAAGTAGACAATGAAAAAAAAAAGGTTATACTCCTTGTAGATCTGGTTGTAGAGTATCCTCTTGCTGGAACAGCTGTAGTGACTGTCCCTTGAGCAGAATTTAATCAGAAAGCTTGCAGTGCTGCATCCTGAACTCTGAAAAAAGGGCCAAGAAAAAAGAGCAAAGTAGCCAGAAAATTCTTCAATCGTCTTCTCTGGCTGTAGCCCCACGTCACAGGCTGTGTTTGTTCGTGTCCAGCCACACAGAAGCTTTATTAGCTGTATCAAAGAAGTGTGCCTGTTAGCAGTCACTGTGACGTGCTGGATACAGCATGGCATAGGTCAATTGATGACATTGCATGCTTTTCCTCACATCTGTGAAATTGGCTTGTTTTTGTTTGACCTCCGCAGAGAAATCTGGGTAGAAAGAAATCTTTGAACCTTTGTATTGGATGTTGCCCTTATTGCAGGCCAGGTGTTGGATAATCTCACGATCTCTATAATTCAAGAGGTGAGCCAGTATAGGCATAAGTGGTGAGCCAAGTGTGCCCATGGCCCACGGCAGAGCACGTTGGGCTCTTTCCACCGCAAAAAACCGAGTGAAGGATTCTTTGCCAAAGAGTTCCAGTAACCAGTGCTCCACAGTTAGTGGGGTTCCTGCCCTAAGTATGTTCTGGGAGACCCACTATGCAGTTGATGTTGCAGTGAAGGCGGTTCTCAATATCATCTGCTTTAGAAGTAGTATCCACCACCATCTAGGATGCAGAGGGGAGGTCCCTGATTATTGCTGGAAACCGGTCCTCAATTTCAATAATACTGCCTTGCAGGGCTGTAGTGCACTCCCTGATTTTTTTTAGATCCTGGCGGATTAGTGAAACCTCCTCCCACAGGCCACCAAAATGTTCTTTTAGCTTATTAGCTGAAGCGGCACATTTACTGACTGGTTTCAGAATCTCACTGAGTGTAGGCTGCTTGGCATCCCCCTCATCTAAATACTCATCTGAGGGCTCTGGGGCAATGGCTGCTGCCGAGGGCCCTGGCTGGTAAAGGGTATCTGGCTCAATGGAGGAGGGGGTTCTCCTGTGGTGAGGATTCCCACTGGCCCACAAGCTTCTGTGTATAATAAAACGTATCCCTGGGAGTATCCTTGTGTTGGGCTTAATAGATTTAGGCTTTCTACTCTCAATTTTTAGACTTATCTGAGCCACATGGAGCACACTGTGCAGGGTCGGGTTGGTGCCATCTTTACAGAATACCATCTCTGAATGCACAATACATTAAACCTTGAAGCAGATGGGTTACACCAGCAGAAGACCACACCGGGTGCCACTCCTGTCAGATAAGCACTGGAAACGAAGGCTTCAATTCGCACAGGCTCACCAAAATTAGACAGTAGAAGACTGGAAGAAGGTTGCCTGGACTGATGAGTCTCAATTTCAGCTGCGACATTCAGATAGTAGGATCAGAATTTGCTGTAAACAACATGAAAGCATGGATCCATCCTGGATCGTATCAACTGATCAGGCTGGTGGTGGTAGTGTAATGATGCGGGGGATATTTTCTTGGCACTAGCAAGTTGTACCTAATACAATGGCTGGCGAGTGTGTTTGGTCATTGTAATAGTCGTGCAAAGATATGTTTTGTTTTTCATAATGGTATCATGTACAAAGCAGCAACCTAAAAGCAAACATTTATTATATTGAAACGTACCAATTTCTATATGTGCTGGCTGCATTATTTTTCTTTTTTTTTTTTTTTTTTTGTGTTTCATTCCTTTTATAATGTGGTGGTTTATGTAAGAATTTATTCTAAATACTTAGGCCAGTGTCCTCTCCCTTAAACAAAATATTGCAGTGCCTCCAGCCGTTTAAAATACGGCAATTATTTAAGAAACCAGTAATTTGGACACCTTAATAATTTGATCACCACTTAATAATGTACCTTGAGTTCTTTTACCAATATGATTTTGTACCATATACACAAAATTTGCCTTTTTGATAAATATTATTTATGTACAAAATATATATATATATATATAAATACAAACGCAAAATATTGGTGATTAATATACTCGTACACACAATCAAAGATATAATATGCTAATATCTATATTATCATACAATATATGATTTCAAATAAAGGAAAAACTACATTTTGGGAGGTTAGTTGCAACCTATAGTGCTTCAAATATTATTTCTCATTTCCCGTGGCTATAGGGAAATAAGAAAATATCTCTGATGATTAGCACCACAACAACACTACAAATTAAATATCAGAATAACGGTGTTCCTCCTATATAAAATATCCCAATTGCACAAGAACACTTTTACCCCCAAAAAGTGTGTAAATCAATAATAAATAAAGTGCTATTACTCAATAAAAATAAATAAATTAACTCTTAAATAATACTGTCCAAAATGTATGTATTTATAATGTCCAAAACCATGAGTATTCCAAAAACAGTCCACAGGATGATGTTCCAGCAAGATGATAGTCCCAATAATTCTTGGAGATTGAACCTCAAGAGAAAGAGAACTAATATAGTGTAATACCACAAATACATGGAATCAAACGAACATCACTGCAAACGCATGTGAATCACACTGAACCACACACATGTGAATGACATAAATACCACACGTGATCTATAGGTGAACAACATGCGTAAAAAATTTTAAGGGTAACACTTGCATGCAGTGTCAAATCGTGAGTGTCCACATCTAATGGATAATATACTATTACCAGAAATGTAGAAAATACCAGCATATAGATCTCAATCAAGAGACCACTTTGTAAATCCAGACAATAGGACACAGATCCTCCATCCATACACCAGCTCACTAATTGCCACTGGCCAGGCTATGATGGTATTATCTCTACGGATACTTCCAACAATGCTTATCTGCAAGCGCTTATCCCAGAGTATAAACACCAGAATTCAGCAGTACAATGTTCATCATCTAGGTATACTTTAATAACATAAGTTCATAATTCAGCAGTAGATAGAGTAGATAAAACAAATGAAACAAAAAAAAACAAAAAAAGCACAGCCAGACCCTCTGTAGATCCTCAGGAGCGCTCTTTCCTGTGTCTGTGTATGAGGATTCCTGGATCAAAGATGGCCGTCCGACAACTTCCCGCTATGCTGTGCGTCCTGACGTCACTTCCCTTTGACGCGTCTCGTCACCTGACCTTTATGATTAGGTCGTGACGAAACGCGTCAAAGGGAAGTGACGTGATATAATAGTCTATTGTGACAGCTCAAGAAGTTTTGTTTGGTAATCACACACTTCCCAAGGTTTTGTGAGAGATAAGACAATAAGGATTTCCTCTCACCATTGTCACCTTGGTCTGGTGTATGCTCACCTGCAAAAACTCAAATAGTGGTGTTTGACCTTATTGTATTTCAAACAGGTCTCTTCCACTCATTGTGTGTGTGGTAACTTCTTGGAATATCACTTGAAATTCAACCTAGAATGTTAACCCCTGACAGTCAGCTTTTAAGATGTTCTTTAGGGCAATATCATTTTTCTTAATAAACAGTCCAAAAGTCATCACAATATACACCTGGTGATCTGGCCAATAAGTCTGTTGGGTTTCAACAGAACAAACTGTCCTGCAGATGTAGCAATTAAGGTGCTGAGACAAACCATTTAATACTAATGGGGTGCTTACAATTATCAGCTTTTATTCATCTATGTAAAATTTTTAATCTCAAAAGGAAAAATGTTGCTTTAGCTGCTTTAAAGTGTTCGCTGAAGTTTGTCTTCCATTTGTTTGTGCAAGTCTGCTAGTCCATCCAACACTCCCTTCCCCCTAGATTATCAGTGCTGCTGTCCAAAAGGTGTGTCTGTTGCTCCTTCGTCCAGACCAGAGTGTAGGCACCCTAAGGCAGGAAGTGTGTTACTGGCCAGGTGACAGGGTGAAAACTGAAGGGAAAGAAGCCTTCAAAAAGAAATTGAATGCAGCCACCACATCTAAGGATTAGTAAGCTGCAATATATTACATTTTTGGGTTTAATACTGCTGTAATCTTCAATGTATTGCATGTACATTCGTGTTGTAATATGACTTTTTTTAATGTGTGTATATATATATATTGCCTTATTTTAGGAAATGTATGTGAAAAACTCTAACAGCCAAGCTTGCAATGACAGTGAGAAAAATGATGCAGATAACATTAGCACCTTATCAACTTCTTCCATTTTTGAGCCTTTTGCAACAGACGACCTAGGTGAGTATGAGCCATTCACAGAATTGCCCTTTAGAATGCTTGCTCATCCTGTCAGGTAGTTGTGCATCTCATGGTGTTGTTCACCTGTGGGCTTAAAGGTGCTTTCCAAGCCTAAAAAATACATTTTCCACCAAGATGCGCAAAGAAGTAGCTTTTGTAATCTATTTACTCATTCCATCCTTTCCATATCCATGGGCAGACCTACAAAATGGTCTGTTATATGGCTCTGTATTGCAGCTTCTGTTCTGATTTCCACTTGTGGATCTACCTCCTGTCTATAATTTTGACCACATTTCAAATGAGGAATCATTGCTGCCATTCAGAAAAAGTGGAAGGGTCATGCATGGTCTGATGAGATATGTAAGTTTATTGGCTTTCCAATTGCTGCTTGCAGGAACAGATGGAGTGGTTGTGGCCAAGCTGACATATATTTTCCTTGCATTTCATTTGCACCCTTTTCCATACATTTGATTTGTGATTTTGGTTTAATCAGAGAATATTGAAAATTGCTGGTAAACCCCTTATATAATGTTTATGTCAAACATGTTATGGCTTTGTTTGCAGGTAACACTGTGATTCATTTAGATCAAGCACTGGCCAGGATGAGGGAGTACGAGCGCATGAAAATTGAGGCTGAAAATAGTTTAGATGCTGAATGCTGCAGTAAGCTTAACAATGCTGCCTCTAATGTAGAAGGTAACTGTTTAAACCCCAAATATTAACAAAAAACACCATGTTGTACCTGTAACAGGAGAGATGACAAGCAGCTTACATAACCGGTTGTGATAATACATTTTAATTAAAAAGTCACTGACCTAATGATATTTGTTATTTAAAAAAACTGTATGAGAAAGCCTGGGAGGAGGAGGATTTGCCCCTCTACCTGTTAAGTAGTGGCATCATGTGTTGCAAAAATGATTGTGTTCTAAGCGCTGTTGAGTTCGCCCCTAGTAACCTTTTACAAATTCCTCTGTGCAATTCCAGGTCCTATAATTAGCACATACCTGTGGGCCACATTTTGATATTCTGCTCCTGCCTTCCTTTACATATGCAGCTGTGGGGAACTTCTCCATAGAAACTGCTGTCCCCTCATCCCACTTCTGTCATGCTATTTGCAGGACAGGCTGGACGCCTCAAGTGTGCACCCACTAACTGTTTCTCCAGTTAAATTGCATGCATACACAGTTCATGATTATATGTTGGTATTTATTTTCAAAGAAAAATGAAAAGTGAATATTTTTTTCGCCTCATATTTAAAATAGAAGAAAGGACCACATAAATATTCTAAATATTTATGCACATCATTTCTCCATTATGCTAATAACACAACTCTGTGCAAACATTTTTTGAAGTATGATTTGTTTTATGAAGTATGCTGCAAACGTTTAATTTATTTTGCTTTTATTTTGAGAAGGCTCCAATGATGAAGAAGAGCACAGTAAACAGTGCAGTGACGATGGGTCTGCAGTCCCCTGTCCACGTATTGATACTCAGCAGCTGGATCGGCAGATCAAGGCAATTATGAAGGAAGTCATCCCATTCTTAAAGGTGTGCACATCAATGTCTTCTGTTTATTACTGTGAGGGCACATTGTACTGTAAAAATGGATTTCCTTATTTTATATAGTGCATTTTAAAATTTCTGTGCAAATTTTAGTATTTTAGAAAACTAACGAGTATAAATGTCCTCCTTTACAGAATGCAAACTGATCATTATTGTCCTGTATTTAATTTCCACCAACAACTATATGCTGTAGAGAATTTTCAAATTAAAAAGGATATCTAGGAAAGTATATGGTCCAGGTGATGGTATGGAGGACCTTTCCTCTTACGCAACCTCCCAGCAAATGGAATCAGAACCCCATCATGCTGCCACACAAAGAAATACATAATTTATCTTGTTAGTGTTGGCAGACCTGTTTTTAGGTCCTGCCAGTAGTGCATGTTTTTCGGACAACTTCACATGGTTTCCAGACAACTTCACATGTTTGCATATGGCATAATTCATGTCTTCAAAGTGTGCCCTGTTGGTCGGACTTGGGGAAAGGTTCATCAAAGTGGTTAAAAAGTTCTTGGTTTCAAAAAAAAAAAAAAAAAGTCTGTTATACTTACCTGTTCTGAGCAATGGATTTGCACGGGTCAGCCCCGATCCTCTTCTCGGCTCTCTCACCAGCACTCCTTCCTCCTCCCCCTTGACCAATGCCCCCAATAGCAAGCTGCTTGCTATGGGAGCACTGGTGTGTGCTCTCTCCCAAGCCTGGCTCTATATGTCCATAAGACACATAGAGCTGTGGCTGTGCCCTGCCTCCTGTGCTCTCCTCATTGGCTCATTAGCTGTGATTGACAGCAGTGGGAGCCAGTGGCGCCTGCTGCTGTCTTAGTCAATGAGGGGAGGGAGTCCTGGGACAGCTAAGGATCTCATGCACATCACTACATCGAGAGGGGGCTTAGGTGAGTATTAGGGGGGTTTGAGGGGGGGAGCAGCTTTTACAAACACTTTAAAGATAGATGTGGTAATCATTACCAAAACGCCAGATTTCACCATAGGGTGGCACTGCAGACAAACGTAATTGCTAATCCTGATACTAGAAAACTTTGACCTTTCCAGAAAAAAAGATAGAAATCATCACTCGAAATGAAAGACAAAGATAGCAATAAAAGTATTTGGTACTTCAAGTTTTTTTTTTTTTTTTTTTTTTTTGCGGTCTGAACAATCCTGTCACCAGTGCAGGAAGTGGGTGGGAACCATATCAACTAAGATTTGATATGGTTGAAAGAAAACGAAGGCTGTTTTAATGAAATCATTTAAGGCACCTGAGACTTTTATTTTGGAAGACTACTGCTAGAGGAAGTATAACAGGTAAGGATAGTACCCCACATCCTTTTGTTTATATGGATATTGGACGTAATTTTCTTCAGGGCAAAGAACTGTGTTCAGTGTCCTATTGTGTCTCTGCAGGAACATATGGAGGAGGTCTGTTCTTCTCATCTTCTGACCTCCATCAGGAGAATGGTCCTCGCTCTGACTCAGCAAAACGATGAAAGCAAAGAATTTGTGAAGTTCTTTCACAAGCAGCTGGGCAGCATTCTGCAGGTACTAGATATACACATTTCCTTTCTATTTGTCCATTTTATCTGATTTGTCAGTGTTCCTGTGTAAACTAACAGGAAAAGGCTGTCCAATAAATAGAGCCAGTGGATATTTTTAAATATCTAATTTTTAGTTTTTAGTATATGACGATATATGTGTGTATGTGGTGTAAGTTCTCCTAAGCTTGTAAATTTTAGAAATGCTGTGCATAGGTACAGATTTTGCGAAGCATGAGGGGTTGTCCGTTTGCTTATAGCTTCAGAGTTTAGACTCATTGGGGCTTTATTCCCTAATTGGTTAATGCGTATGTAAGAAAATCTTCACAATGTATTGAAGGTGTGTTCCAGTCATAAGTGCTTTTTATTGACTGATAGTTACATTTTAGTTATTGAAGGCTGTGGCTGGACTTTCAAAATTGCTAGGGAATTTCAGACTGTGTATTTGCTCCTTTTATGTGTGGCTTCTACAGTGTTTCATTGTATTTTTAAAGTGAATTTTGAGTCTAAGCATTTAATTGAATGACATTACCTTGTGTCTACTTTTATGCAACGGGGTTGTGATGACACAAACAACCTAGATAGATCTCAATTTTAGTAGTAATTTGTCGGTGCTTTCAGCACGGATTTGTATCACTTCTTTTGATAAGGGATTTACTATGCTATTTGCAGGTCAGTAGGAAAATGGCAGGTATGTTACTTATGTCAGTTATCCTGATTGGAGTACCCAAATTGCTCTCCCTCCAAGCAGTCTGCTTGCATAAAAAGGACAAGTTTATTGACTTTGGGCGGCACAGACCTCTTCAGCATTTTGCACTGTGGAATCCCCACATTACAGTTGGTTCACAGTTCTGTTGTATATATTGTGAATCATGGTAATTTGTTTAATCTTTTTTTTTTTTTTTCCTACCTTTCCTAGGATTCTCTAGAAAAGTTTAGCAACAAAAAGTTGAAGGACTGTGGAGAAGATCTTCTTGTTGAAATATCTGAAGTCTTGTTCAACGAGTTGGCTTTCTTCAGGCTGATGCAAGACCTGGACAATAACAGCAGCTCGGTGCAAAGTAGAGGGCAGCATAAGTCAAACACTGAGGTTTTGCAGTCTTTCAACAAGAAGGTTGATAATGAAATGTGTTTTTATTATTGAGACTGAAAAATGTATCGTTCATTAAATCGTTTTACTTATACTGCCTGTACTCTTTTTAACTAAAAGTTGTCATTTAAAGCCTCGTAGTCTGTTGTTGTTGCCGTTAGTCAACGAGTACTATCCTATTTCTACTCAGTGTGTCCCCATGCGGGGCAAGAGCCAGTTAAAGAGCACATCCAAAAAAGAAAAAAAAAATTTTAAGTGGTTTTAAACCCAAAAGCAAACAATAATTGTTTTGCAGCTTACCAATTCTTAGATGTGATGGCTGTATTCCTTTTTTCTGTTTTCACTTTCTTTTGTTTATTTTCACGTGGTGATCCAGCCAGTAAGTCATTTGTTTTTATTTTTAAAAGAAGCCAGCTCTCTTCTAGATTTAGCAGTTACAGGTTTGAGACAAACCATTTTCCACTGACAAGGGTGCTTACAAAGATCAGCTTTTTTTTTTTTATGTAAAACCTTTATCCAAAAAGAAAAGTGTTGCTATAACTGCTTAAAACGTGTGAGCTGCAGTTTGACTTCGGTTTGTTAGTGTAGCTAAATTTGCTAGTCCATCTAACACTCCCATTCCCCCCTGATTAACAATGGTGCTGTCCAAAAGTGCCCCTGTTCTCCTTCATTCAGTGTTGGGGCACTCTGATACAGAAGGTGCGTTAGTAGCCAGATTACCAGGTGAAAATGGTGAGAGAAAGTCTAAAAAAGGAAAACTAATGCAGCCACCACATCTAATTATTGTTAAGCTGCAAAATATAACATTTTTTGGTTTTGCGTTTATTACTGCTTTTAAAGCTAGTGTCCTTGGGCCCTTTTTTATAGGGCTGGTTTGTATTTCTGCCTGACTGGTCCTCCTCAACTCTGCAAGCATTTGATCATTTTTTCTTTTGATTTTCATACAATAAACAACTTTTTCTTAATCTTGAAGAGAGTATAATTTTTCTGCCATTCTTCCCAGACATGCCATATTATGGAGGTGAGCCATTTCAGCAGTCCTTTGGCCTGTGTCATGGGCAGCCAGTCAACTTTGGACTGCTTGGCTTTCTGTGGCAAAGTCTCAAAAAACTGTGCTTTAAAACACTGATGGTTAATAGGAGTCAGTAAATGACAACCCCTACTATTTGCAATAAGCCCTGCAAGACAAATGTGTGTTTTTCCCTAATCATGATAAATATTTAGACTGCAGTGGCAAAATGGTATACTTACTGAAGCAAGCTAATGGATCTTAAGAAATTCAGTATGAAAAAACATTTCATCCTTTTATCTTTAGCATTCAAGTCAGATCTGTGGCAAAATCTGTCTAAAAATGTTCACAAAAATAATTTAACAACGTGCCAAACCTTAAATTAGGAGCAATTTGGGGGGGGGGGGAGCACTTCAGGTATTCCTGTAACAACTAGCCACCAGTGCCAAGTCAGTAGTTGGGGCTTGTCTATTTCTCAGTTAACAGCTGCAAATAAAAACAGTCTGCACTCAGCCTTTAATAAAACATTTTTCCATTGGGCTGAGCTCCTTCTGTGTCATGTTCTGTGTAAGAGCTTAATCGCCCATCAGACCTATATGATTTAAGACCTTAGCAAGGGTGAAATGCACAAGGGAAGGAGTGGAGTCTGATGGAGTGCAAGGTCCACTTGAAGGAATACACATTTCGATCACTTAAATCTGCGGTGTGCGGCCAACTTTAGCACCTTTTTGTTGCAGTTGAAGCAACCATCGTCTAAGGCTTGGCTATACATTAATCATTTTTTTTCTATTTGAACCAGCAGGTTGAAAAAAAAAAAAAAAAAAAAAAATTCCTGTGTTTACATGGGGAGATCTCTCCCTCAGTGCTATTATATTCTGTTGGTGCAGAACCCACCCCAACAGTAAAATATAATGATCAGTGCTGCTGGTTATAGCTGGTGCACTGATCGTTTGGAAAAAACCCAAGAGACTGGTTGTACAAAAATTGATCTATCGGCTTGTGTACAGCTAGCTAGCTCATACTGTATATGGATCAAAATTTGGCTGGTTCCTGCTGAAATGGCTGAATTTCTTTCCATGGATGCCCAGCTTAAGGGCATACACAGAATTTACTTGGCATGACATTTTGTCTATAGCTTTCACACCCTTTTTTAGGAGTGCTTTTTAGCTACTGCAGAGATGTAATTTTTTTCATCACAAGGCTTTTGTTCCCTGTAATTACCTTACCTATTCACATATTCTTTGAGCTCTATTAATGTGGAACTCCTCAGTATTGCACAAGTTTTTGTAGTCTCATGTTGGTTGGCAGTTATTATGTCATTATAGAAGTGCAGATATATTTTAGTGCAGACCTTGCAGCTTTATTCTGATATTTTCCTCTAGGCACGGGTAATGTTGGATGGAGTAGAAAGCTCTGATGCACGAGAGAGTGATGATGAAGACAAGGTATATATTAATATAATAGTTATTTTTGTGGTTAACTCCTATTTTTGGTTGACAGGTCTACAAATGACAAGGACAGTTGTCTTTATTATGGAATTTGTACCTTTTTCGCACGGTTTGGCTTTTATGTACTCCTAGATTGTAAGCTCCAAGGAGCAGGGCCCTCGAACCCTTTGTGTATTGTATTGTTACTGTACTGTCTCAAGTATTGTCTCCCACTATAATGTACAGCGCTGAGCAAACTTTTTGGCGCTATATAAATACTGTATAATAATAATGTAGAAACTGCGCTATTGCAACATAAATTCCAGTGTATTTCCCCTGTCTAGAAAGTCCAGTTGCATTGGGTACAGCTGCCCATAGATGTTAATGGCTGTGCATTAGTGCCATGTACAAATGTAAACTAAGCATTTATACTGAAACTTTCCATTGCAGTCCTATATACTCATATGCCCTGGTAATAGCTTTTGACGTGCCTTTTTCCCACCATATGATTGGCTCCCATACAGACATGTAAAAAGCGTCCTTGATTGTTTGAAGAACGATGTTTTATACATTAGAGCTACAATAAAACCTTCAATTCAGTCCATGAAAAGCCATAGTGCCGATGATTGACTGATATTTCTTTTTTGGTTCAGAGCATTTTGACTTAGTGTTTTTTGGCGCATATAAGGGCACATTAACTTGTAAGGTTTGCCTGCACACTCTTCATTGCAAAGTACAAATTTCTTCTTGCTGGATTGTTTACATATATATGCATTAGAGGGGAATTTTGCATGTTCTACAGTATGCCTAGTGATATGTATGGTATGTCACTTTAGTAAATATAAAATATTGCGTATGAATATTTCCCATTTACCACTGCAGCCAATAGGTTACATGTAAATTGAGTGTAAGAAAAGTTTCAGAAAGATGATTTATTACTATGCCATGGCTAGATCTGAATAGCAGCTGAAACACAACTGAACGACTTCCTCTTTTATAGTAGAAATGGTGATTGTTTTTCTACATGCAGATGTTGTCAGAGCATAGTGCTGCTGTACTTTTTTATAAAATCTAGCATGCTCTGAAAACAGTATCATGAAAGTGTCTGGCATGTGTTCTGAGTGCCGCACACACAGGCAGCATGAGAAGGACACAAAGAACAACAGCCACGCATCTCCTCTGCAGCAGCGGCATTTGACAGTGATTTTATGTCCCACTTGCACTGCTTGTGTTTGAAGTTCTCGGACAACTGAACGTAAAATTGTAGTACAGTGCGGGATCATACATATAGAGGGGACTCTTACGGGACTCCATGGTTCCCAGTGGCATAAGGAACATACAGAAAGCATGTAGTGTGGCCAGAGGATACTTTCAAAAATACACCCAGGGAGGTGTATTTTTATAGCAATTCTATGCAAGTTTTTATATGACTTGCTTTCTGAAAAAAAAATAGACTTTAATATCACTTTAAGAAACAGTATTACTTTAGTGTTTGGTTGATGCAGTTCTGCAGGATGTTTGAAGTCCATCTAGTTCAACCAAAAAAAAAAAAAGGGGGGGGGGGGGGGGGGTGGAATTATACCGTCCAATATACACAATCTTATATCAACAGTTGATCCAGAGGAAGGTGAATAAACACTTAGCAAAGCATGGTCCAGTTTGCTCCAGAGGGGGAAAAATTCCTTTCTGATCCCCCAAGAGTCTATTGGATATTCCCTGGATCAACTTTACCTATAAATGTTAGTATCCAGTTATATTATGTGCCTTTTTATGCAAATAATCCAGGCCTTTTTTAAAGCAATCTACTAAACTGGCCAGAACCAGCTCTTGAGGGATTCTATTCCACATTTTTACAGCTCTTACTGTGAAAAGGCCTTTCCATTTTTGGAGATTAAATCTCTTTTCCTCCTGATGTAAAGAATGCCCCCTTATCCTCTGTGATGACCTTGCAGTGAATAACTGTACTCTAAGTTCACTATGTGGACCACCTATGTATTCATACATGTTGACCATATCCCCCTTAATCTCCTTTTCTCAAGAGAGAACAAACTGATTTCCTCTAATCTTTCCTCATAGCTGAGCTCCTCCATGCCTCTTATCAGTTTGGCCATTCTCTGCACTTTCTTCAGTTTTCCATGTCCTTTTTATGTATTGGTGCCCAAAACTGAGCTGCATATTCCAGATGAGGCATACTAATGCTTTGTACAGGGATAAAATGATCTCTCTCTGACTCTGTGTGTGTGTGTGTGTCTCTCTCTCTCTCTCTCTCTCTCTCTCTCTCTTCTATACCTCTCTTAAAACGAGAAAAGATTTGCTTGCTTTGGAAACCACAGATTGGCATTGAATGCCATTTATATGCTTATGATCTGCCAGAATACCCAGATCTTTCTCCACCATTGATTCCCCCAGTTGTACCCCCCCTAGTATGTATGATGCATGCATATTCTTAGCCCCCAAGTGCATAACCTTACATTTATCAACATTAAACCTCATTTGCCACATACAGTCAGGTCCATAAATATTGGGACATCGACACAATTCTACAATTTTTGGCTCTATACACCACCACAATGGATTTGAAATGAAACAAACAAGATGTGCTTTAACTGCAGACTGTCAGCTTTAATTTGAGGGTATTTACATCCAAATCAGGTGAACGGTGTAAGTATTACAACAGTTTGTATATGTGCCTCCCACTTGTTAAGGGACCAAAAGTAATGGGACAATTGGCTTCTCAGTTGTTCCATGGCCAGGTGTGTGTTATTCCCTCATTATCCCAATTACAATGAGCATATAAAAGGTCAAGACTTCATTTCAAGTGTGCTATTTGCATTTGGAATCTGTTGCTGTCAACTCTCAAGATGAGATCCAAAGAGCTGTCACTATCAGTGAAGCAAGCCATCATTAGGCTGAAAAAACAAAACAAACCCATCAGAGAGATAGCAAAAACATTAGGCGTGGCCAAAACAACTGTTTGGAACATTCTTAAACAGAAGGAACGCACCGGTGAGCTCAGCAACACCAAAAGACCCGGAAGACCACGGAAAACAACTGTGGTGGATGACCGAAGAATTCTTTCCCTGGTGAAGAAAACACCCTTCACAACAGTTGGCCAGATCAAGAACACTCTCCAGGAGGTAGGTGTATGTGTGTCAAAGTCAACAATCAAGAGAAGACTTCACCAGAGTGAATACAGAGGGTTCACCACAAGATGTAAACCATTGGTGAGCCTCAAAAACAGGAAGGCCAGATTAGAGTTTGCCAAACGACATCTAAAAAAGCCTTCACAGTTCTGGAACAACATCCTATGGACAGATGAGACCAAGATCAACTTGTACCAGAGTGATGGGAAGAGAAGAGTATGGAGAAGGAAAGGAACTGCTCATGATCCTAAGCATACCACCTCATCAGTGAAGCATGGTGGTGGTAGTGTCATGGCGTGGGCATGTATGGCTGCCAATGGAACTGGTTCTCTTGTATTTATTGATGATGTGACTGCTGACAAAAGCAGCAGGATGAATTCTGAAGTGTTTTGGGCAATATTATCTGCTCATATTCAGCCAAATGCTTCAGAACTCATTGGACGCCGATTCACAGTGCAGATGGACAATGACCCAAAAAAAAACTCTTTGGTTGCTTTTGCAGTATGCTAAGGGAAAGAAGTGGAATGTTATGCAATGGCCAAGTCAATCACCTGACCTGAATCCGATTGAGCATGCATTTCACTTGCTGAAGACAAAACTGAAGGGAAAATGCCCCAAGAACAAGCAGGAACTGAAGACAGTTGCAGCAGAGGCCTGGCAGAGCATCACCAGGGATGAAACCCAGCGCCTGGTGATGTCTATGCGTTCCAGACTTCAGGCTGCTGCAATTGCCTGCAAAAGGATTTGCAACCAAGTATTAAAAAGTGAAAGTTTGATTTATGACTATTATTCTGTCCCATTACTTTTGGTCCCTTAACAAGTGGGAGGCACATATGCAAACTGTTGTAATTCCTACACCGTTCACCTGATTTGGATGTAAATACCCTCAAATTAAAGCTGACAGTCTGCAGTTAAAGCACATCTTGTTCGTTTCATTTCAAATCCATTGTGGTGGTGTATAGAGCCAAAAATGTTAGAATTGTGGCAATGTCCCAATATTTATGGACCTGACTGTAGTTGCCCAGATAAACAGTGCCTTGAGGTTGGCTTGTAAGTTGGAGACCTCCTGTAAGGATGTTATTCCACTGCACAGCTTGGTGTCATCTGCAAAGACTGAAATGGTACTCTTAATTGTAGACCATATTTCATTTATAAATATATTAAAAAGTAAGGGTCTCAACACTGAACCTTGGGGTACACCACTAACAACCCTAGACCATTCAAAGTATGAATCATTAACCACTACATTGAATACAGTCATTTAGTCAGTTTTCTATCCATTTACAAACTGATTTTTTTAAAGCATGTAGACTTTACCTTACACATTATCCAGGTGTGGGGAATGCGTTTGCAAAATCCAAGTAGCACGTCCACAGCTACTCCTTTGTCCAAGATTTTGCTTACCTCCTCATAAAAAGAAATCAGATTTGTTTGACAACTTTCATTTTTAATGAATCTATGCTGTCTGTTGCTTAAAATATTTTTTTCCAGCAAGAACTCATCTATGTGGTCTTTTATTAAACTCTCCGGTATCTTCCCAACTATAGACGTTAAACTAACAGGTCTATAATTACTTGGTAAAGACTTTAACCCCTTTTTAAATATTGGCACCACGTTGTCCTTTCCCCAATCCATTGGTACTGGAATGTATATTGGGGAATATAGGTTAGTTTAGAGCAGTACTGTGTGCAATAGATTCTCAAGCAGCTTAATAGTGAATAGATTGAATGGGTCATCATGTATATTTGGAGAAGGCACAGGGAAGCCAAACGATGATTCAGCGACAGCATGCTTGCTGAGCAGTGAGCAGATTGCTGCCAGCAATCTTTCATGCCTATGTCTATTCTGCAGTGCCAGAGGTTAATATAATGTTAAGTATCATTTCTGGGTATTGGGTACATGTAAATGTGTTACTATTTAGTTAGCACTTTGTTGCTTTTTTTTTTCTTTTCAATATCTCAATTGTTGTTTTTCCTAGGACAAGGATGAAACAGAGGTCCTATCAAAGTCGCAAAACAAACATATTGATGTTTCTGAAGCTCATAGTGGGAGATCTGACATTTCAGAGGAAGAAGATGGAAATGAGAACATTCCTGTGTCCATCAGTAGGATTTTTTTTGTTTGTTTTACTGGCTTTTTCTGTTATAATCAATGTCTTTACTGGCTGCTGATTTCTCTTGTTCAGTGCTTAGTGTTTTATGGATTTTCATGTGCACTTTACCCAGCGGGTGTAGTTTTATATTTCTTTATGGGTAGTCTCAAACCCCCATGGGAAGTAGGGGGAGGGGAGGAGAGTGGGTGTTCGGGCTAGTTAATAAGCCTGTCATAATTGTTCTAGTTTCACTTGGTAAGTCTTTCCTGATCTTCTGGCTCTGACTTCCCTCTCTTGACATATTCCAGCTGGCAGAACCAAACTTAGGAGTCTGTTCACACCAACCTATTACAGCAACACACTATATGTGCATTGGTGTGTTGCAGTACCATGTATTTTGAATGGCACACTAACATACCTGTGCCGCAAAAAGAAATTGTACACTGAGGTGCATAGCATCTAATGCAGCTTGCCACAACACACGAAAACCCATACATTGCAGAGGTGTAAACAGGCTCTGAAGGTTTATGCAGCTTGTGCTGAAGGCCAGTAGATTTTGAATGCTCATGTGGCCGTTCTCTATGGTTGTCCAAATCTGATACATGTCTCTCTTTATTAAATCTATAAGGCCAAGTGCACATGGCTATTGTCTCTCCCTTGTGTTTTTGATAGAGAAAAAAAAACAAAAACTTGGCGCTTGCCCTTTCTCTAAGGAACTCTTAAGGTAAGGAGGTACAGTTGGGTCGAGCATCAGGAACTACCTAATTTGCTTTGTTTGCTGGGCACAGTCGCTTCCTGTTTTCCTTCTGTTTCTCCGCAGAAGGGATTAACACTGAAAGTGAGTGCTGGTGTTTCCCACTGGGCAGGGTTTTCTGCATGCATGTTCCATGTATTTTCCCACCATACACCTCGAGGAAGCATCTCCTGCTGCTGCATCTCCAGCTTGCATAGACTCTCATGCAATTTCGATCCATTCTTGCTGCCTGTCCACAGTGACTTTGGTCACTTCCAGTCATTTGATCCTCACGTCCTACCAGCTGTCTGCGTTTTTCGAGTACTTATAGCATTGCCTCCTACTCTGAACATATCTTATCATCCTGCAGTCACAGCATGTCATGGAGGGGACAGTCCCACTATACCAAGTGCCCCCGGTTCACTTTTTACTAATGGCTCCGAGTCCTCTTTTAGCTCCGCCTGGTGTGGTGGTTGTTTTGCTTGTAATCTTTTCAGCTACCTTACAACAAGGAACTTTAAGAGCCTGTAGTATTACTGTGTTCTTACTAAGCAAGAGTGTTGCATATACCAACTACTTACAATTGTCGAAAAATAATACAGGACATAGAGAGTACTACAAATATGCCTTCAACACACATGCACACTCTATCCTAACCTTGCTAGCAAATAAGCATTGACCATGGTTTGTATGCTATAGGGATACACCAAAAACTAATTTAGCTTGCATCATAGCTGTTTGTGATTTCCAAGGCTACTCAAGTGATTGCAGGAAATAGAGTTCTCTTGTAGTGTAGATTTAATGTCATCCCAAAGTTCAATTTTTAGCTTGTGCTGCTTGCCTTTTTTTGTATTATTAATATTTCATTAAGTTTTACATTTTATCTCTTCCATCAATCAAAATTTCAATATAACTTATTCCATAATTTTCACCCAAGGTACAAAAAATACAAACTCCCCCTTCCCCCCTCCCTATCCCACACCTTGCCTTCCCCTCCCCCCCCCCCCCCCCCCCCCCACCCCTTTTCAGCATCCTTTCACTGTCTTTTGGAGTTCTAGGGTATTCATTTATTTTTCTTTCCTATACAATTTCAATTAATTTAAACTTAAACTCCTCCCACTTTTTTCCATTTCTCACGAAAACACTCCGCTTTATCCTCATCTATATGGTATAGTTCTTCCATCCTATATAGCCTTTTTAATCCAGCCCGATATTTTTGGTGCTTCCTGTTCCATCCAGAATGTAGTAATCAAACCCTTTGCTGCATTAATATAGTGCAATAACCCAGAATTTTTATACCTTTCAACCGTTAACTCTGTTTCATGTAAGATACATATCCCTGGCTCCTTTAGTATTTTTATCCCAGTTATTTCTTGTGTCAAGTGAAGTACTTCTTCCCAATATTTTTGAATTTTGTAACATTCCCACCAAATGTGACCTACTGTGCCCTGTTCCCCACAACCCCTCCAACATAAAGGTGATTTATCCCTATTTTGTTTGTGTACTATATTTGGTATCATATATCACCTCTCCAAACATTTATAGTTTAACTCTACCTCCTCCATGCTCACATTACCATGTGTTAACTTATAAATCTTTTTTTGTGTATCCTCCTCTGTTTTTATTCCTAATTCCTTCTCCCATATCTCCATATATGCGGGTACCATATTTGTTGTTAACTTAGTAAGAATTTTTTTATATTTTCGAAGTTCCAGGTTTCCCATCTCCCCGTGTAGTAAACAAATTTTCAAATGGGTTCCATTGTTCTTTCTTCCTTAGGAGCCTAGGAAGTTTTTCTATGAAATGTTTTATTTGTAGATACCGCCACTCATCTACTTTAGTGAACAACTCCTTCTTTAATTTTACTAAGGGACAAATTCCCTCGCCTTTTCATTAGGTCTCTTAATTGAGCATCTCCCTTCCTTATCCATCTCCCTGAAATCTTTTCATTCCCCGGTGGAAAAAAAAACTGTGTTTACAATAGGCATCAACATAGAGTTATATTCCCATCCCATCTGTTTGTGCATTATGTCCCAAGCTCTCAAAACAATTCTTGTAAATACACTTGTACTTTCTATCACTCCACGAAAGTGAGGTGGCAACCATAGTATCCTATCCAAATGTGTTTTACTTAGTGTTTTCTATATTTATCCAACTTTTCCCCTGTGAATTACCGTATTTTTCGCTCCATAAGACGCACCTGACCATAAGACGCACCTAGGTTTTAGAGGAGGAAAACAAGAAAAAAAAATATTCTGAACTAATGGACTGCAGACATAGTACAGGAGATGACCAGAGACTGCGGACACAGTGCAGGAGATGACCAGAGACTGCGGACACAGTGCAGGAGATGACCAGAGACTGCAGACACAGTACAGGAGATGACCAGAGACTGCAGACACAGTACAGGAGATGACCAAAGACTGTGGACATAGTATAGGAGATGATCAGAGACTGCAGACATAGTACAGGAGATGACCAGAGACTGCGGATATAGTACAGGAGATGACCAGAGACTGCGGACATAGTACAGGGAAAATACCAGGGACACAGTACAGATGACCAGAGAGACTGCGGACAGTGCAGGGAATAAGCAGAGACTGCAGACAGTGCAGGGAATAAGCAGAGACTGCAGACAGTGCAGGGAATTAGCAGAGATGCAGACAGTGCAGGGAATTAGCAGAGACTGCAGACAGTGCAGGGAATTAGCAGAGACTGCAGACAGTGCAGGGAATTAGCAGAGACTGCAGACAGTGCAGGGAATTAGCAGAGACTGCAGACAGTGCAGGGAATTAGCAGAGACTGCAGACAGTGCAGGGAATTAGCAGAGACTGCAGACAGTGCAGGGAATTAGCAGAGACTGCAGACAGTGCAGGGAATTAGCAGAGACTGCAGACAGTGCAGGGAATTAGCAGAGACTGCAGACAGTGCAGGGAATTAGCAGAGACTGCAGACAGTGCAGGGAATTAGCAGAGACTGCAGACAGTGCAGGGAATAAGCAGAGACTGCAGACAGTGCAGGGAATAAGCAGAGACTGCAGACAGTGCAGGGAATAACCAGAGACTGCAGACAGTGCAGGGGGTGACCAGAGACTGCTGACCTTTGGGGAAGGAGGGGGAGCAGCGGGTACCTGCTCCCACTTTCGCGGAGTTGTCCTTCCCTCTTCTTCCCGCGCTGGCTTCTGTGACAGCCGGGTGCCCACTGCGCATGCGCGAGAAGCGTGGTGGCGTTGTGAATGGCCCGGCGCCTTCTGGGACCTGTCATGCGCAGTGGGCACCCGGCTGTCACAGAAGTCAGCGTGGGAAGACTGTACAGCGCTGGAGCGAGGAACAGGTAAGGCCCTGCAAGAGAGAACAGCTGAGCGGCCAGCCCGATATTCTGACATAGTGGCGGCAGAGATACCGGACCGGCCGCTTTATATTCGCTCCATAAGACGCACTGCACTGACATTTTCCCCCCTTTTTTGGGGGAAAAAAGTGTGTCTTATGGAGCGAAAAATACTGTATGTGTCCAATCAAAAATTTGTGCTATCAATACTGCATTATAATATCTTCTGAAATCCAGTACACCTAAACCCTTGTTTTCTTTGTTTCAAGTTAGAACTTCATAACTTAGTCTAGGTTTTTTATTTCTCCATATGAATTTTAGCATAATTTTTTTCATCGTCCTAAAATACAGTCCTGGCAGCTTTATTGGGATCATCTGGAATTTATATAAAATTTTTGGGACGATTACCATTTTAATTACATTTATTCGTCCTATCCACGATATACCACCTATCCCAAATTTTAATTTCGTTTAATAATGGAATATAATTTACTTGTATAGATTCTTCAAGGAGACAGCTAAATTTATTCCTAAATATTTTAGTTTTTTCCTTCCAAGAGAAAGAAAATTCCCTTTGCAAGGCCTTTCTCTCTCCTCTTGGAAGATTTATATTCACGATTTCTGTTTTAGTTGGGTTAATTTTCAAGTTAGACAACTCCCCATATTCCTTCAGTGTTTTCTTTAAATTGGGTAATGTTATCCTTGGGTTACCTACATAGAAGAGCATGTCGTCGGCATACGCCGCATCTTTATGCTCTGTCTCTCCTATCCTAATTCCCTTAATATCTGTATTTTAAATTTTTTCTCTAAAAGGGATTCTAAGGACAGGACAAACAGCAGCGGTGACAAAGGGCATCCCTGACGTGTCCCATTATACAGCTTAAAGCTCTCTGATATTTCCCCGTTAACCTTTATTGCAGCTGATGGTTGACTGTACAATTTCCCTATCCATA